AGGAGGCACTGGCAAACCACTTCTGAAACACCTTGCCTTGAAAACTGCAGGGACTCATCCAAGCAGTCACTGCAGAGTTGGTAACCACTGAGCGCAGATTAAAAAAAAAAAAAAAAAGCTCACATAACTAAGTGACTAAGCACACTTAACTAAGGCTAAGATTTCAGGTGGTTTCTTAAATTATCATGTATGATTATTCTTAGGAAAACAGATGCAGTTGATATGAGTTACTTGAAGAGTTCTTGGTATACAAGTCTCATACTTCTTTTTATATAATTTTCATTATAGGTACATCAACCTAAGTAAAAACTTCAGTAAATTTACTGTACTTTTTGGCCTTGAAGCTGGAAAATAGTTTGTTCTTTACACAACTGACATCTCTTCCCTGAGAAACTCTGGTTCTCAATTTAATGCTCACATTAAGCTTGGTTAGTTTTACCTTGCTTAGATTTGGGGGGGCATTATAGTATGTAGAAATCAGCTAAGCCTGTATGGTAGAAAGCTGGAAGTTTCAAACCTCCTCTCCTCACCCAGAAGCCTTCTGGGTCCTCACACCAAGGCCCATCTCCTGCGGTGGGGTAGCAGGTAGGCATTCCTGCTGCCACTACATATCTTCCTTGGGGCACCTTCCCTAATGTCTTATCCCTAGTCCTGGAGTATGAGAGCAAGAAGGGTCTCACACCCGATGTTAAAGTAAAATAATTTCATTAATGCAACCTCCTGACTGTATAGAGTAGGGTAGATGTCTAGTGGTTTTATACCTTCCTCCCATTCTTGGGTGATAGAATAAACTCATAAGAAATTAACAAAAGATAAGGCACTCACCCCAAAGTGACCACAATTGGAGCAGTTTTTAAACAAGAAGAATGGCCAAGTGTCTAAATTGGAGGATCCCTTTGAGCTGAGGGTTTCTGACCAAATGGACTTTCTGCTCTCTTTGCACTCAACTAGTTGGGCCTAGTTGTACTTATTCAGAATTGTGTGAAATTGGAATATAGTAACGTCCTGACATGTTTGCCAGATTGGTTCTGCTTTATTTCTGGGTAAGATTCTCACACCGTTATTAATATAGGATGAAAAGATTATATTATCAGTTGGGGCATCACCATCCTAACTGATCATAAGTACTGGATCAGCTACAATAGTTGTCATATTGCTCTGTTTATACAGACTGCTTGACTCCTGGCTAACTTTTCTTCAAGCCTTCAAGGAAGACCAGGTCAGGAACAGATGCCACAAGAATTGCTGGAACTCTACTTTGTTGTTATAGGGTATAATAAGAGAATCTTGAAAGCCTGACCTGGAGACTTCTCCCTCTTATACCAAAGAGAGTCAGGTTTCTTCCTCAACCTCTCCTGCCTCTCCAGCCAAAGCTTATGTTTTTGTAAATGGCTGTTGCATACCTTCTTCAAGGCTATCTTCATACTCCTTTACAGTTTTTCCCCCTCCAAATCATTCAGAATCTGGATCAGGAACTTGCTCACATTTTTTTTTAAAACATGGGTTTTTAATATCTGCCTGAACATGGAATTTCTCATGTTCCTAAAATACTATATACGAATGTCATTGATTCAACCTGGCTGCAAGCTTGAAATACAGCTGGGTAATTTTCTATCTCTTGAACCTGCTCCTGATAATGAAGCTACTATTAATATTTAAAATTCCGTTGGTTTTTCAAAGAATAAAATGCTTTTCCACCGTGGCCCTAGTCAGCACACTAGTTTCTATTATAGCAGTTATTGCCATTGTTAGCAGAACATAGTACAATTACCACAATTACCCTATCTAACAACACCATCTGTAACAGGACAGAAATTTGCATAAAGGTTGTTATGAACTATTATAAATGAGCAATAAATGAATTCATTGCTTGCAAATCAGTCTTATAAACAATTTTCCAAGAGTAATTTTTTAGAAGTTAATTAAGATAGCAATAAATTACTCATGGCTCGAGTCTTTCATATGGTGTGAAACATTTTGTTGTGCTACTTTGTTTAGGAAGATAGTTTAAATTAACCATCACTCCAGTATTTGCAGATTCAGAACTGGAATTTTTGAAACACAGCTTGCCAAGTTGACAACAGAACAGAGAATCTGATAACTATGATTTAATTAATTTAAAGGACAACTCATACTCAGTTAAGCAGTTGTTCTTTCCAACCTACATAAGCTTAGCTGTGCATTAATTTGCCATTTATAAATATGAAAGCACTGGATTAATTACATAACTGACCACCAATCATTTATAGTGTTTCAAAATTTTCACCAAAGAGATGGTGCTGGGACCAGAAACAAGCAGATCTGTACCTGATACTTGAGCTGGAATGTATTATGCATAATTATGACTCCTTAATCCTTCTATATTATTCTTTTTGCTACCAACTCCTGATTAAGCTTTTAAAACCAATCAGCCATCCAACCAATAAACCAACTAAGCTTATCCTGAAAATGCAAGAAAATCCTAACTAATATGAAAGACTGAAATAGCTGTTGAATGGTGTCAACTCAAGTGAGCTCTAGAATAAAATGGAGAGACTGTACTCCTAAAAATTATTACCAAGTCTGGCCCTACAATTTGGTAAAATTGATCCTGAGAGGCAGTAACATGACTGAAAGGACACAGCTAAAGATACTTTGCAGCTTGCTGCACAGCCTCTGAACGATTGAACTATTTTTATGCGAGGCACTGAATACTGTCCAGAGTAAGCCCTGAACGAAAATTTAATGGTCATTTTAGTTGATTTTTTAAGTGTAAAAGAAAAGAACTACAGGTAGTCCCCAGTTTAAGAACGAGTTCCATTCCCAAGGTCTGTCCTTAAGTTGACTTTGTATATAAGCCAGAACATTATTGTTGTATAATACTGTATAAGTAGTATTGTGTAATTACCTCAAACCATTGTGTATTTAACTTGAATCGTTCTGTATTTAACTCAAATTTTGCTACAATAGGGTCCGTTCTTAACTATGGGTTGTCCGTAAACCAGGCGTTCTTAATCTGGGGACTACCTGTAGTTCTTGCGTCTTATGTTAGTCACCCTACAACCTGTATTTAAACCAGGTCCAAATCACTAAGTTTATAAGAAGTCACATGGCACGACAAAGACCATGAGAAACAAAATGTTAAGAAGTTTAAACCAAGTACTTGATAGGAACAATAGCAGTTGCACCCATTTATATGAAAGACCTCTGCAATGCAGGCCCAGCACTCCTTTTTTTCTTTCTTTCATTTTCTTAAAGATTTATTAAAGCATCATTTATAAACAAAGATGAAAATACATACAGATTTGAAGCAAGCAAATGATAAATGTAGTTTTTGTGTGTCCTTTTCTGGCATTCACACCATATGGCAAAAATGTCAAAGCTATTGATTCCAGCTTCCGGTTTTGGAGAGAATTGTTTCAAGGCATAGGGATAACACAGTAAAAACTAATGCAACAGAAAGAGTTTCAGGTATATCTAATAGTGCATTACATACGAAGTCACTTTCCCACAATAAAAAAAGGGGGGGGGAAATCTTACCATCTGATATGATTGTCCCTAGGAACTAATCTATATTTATAAAATGCCTGATCTTCTAAATGTTAATCTTCAGAACTAAACTTGCTTCTCCAAGTAAAATGAAGTGACAAATACATACAATTGTATACAGAAACAGAAATATTTGCAAAATTAAGCCCCAAGGCAAGAATTACTTAGAATTACTTAGGATATTTAAGGAAATCAGTAAAATTAAAGCCAGCAAGAGGGAGAAAAATCACTTCCATATGAATTTCATTTAGTAAACTTATATCCAATGCTTCTTAACCTCATATGGTTGCTCCTAAAACTCTGAATATTTAAGTGGTCTTACAGATATTAGCTGGGTACAGTGGCATTTGTACGGTATAAACTAGAAATTGCTAACACTACCATAATTTAGATACATCTTTAAAGACACGGAGAAAAGGTTTATATCAATGTTAACATTGTATAATAACATATATTAATATTTATTTTTGTTTATGAATATTA